ACCTAATTCCCGCTAACAGTGCGATCGTACTATCTTCTGGTGTGGCATACCATCATCTCCCATGAGGATGCCCGTTTTACAATATATGTGAGATAAATATCAGACGAACAGGATCTCAACCCCGTTCTGTTCTCGCCAAATATCAAGTCGTTTGTGTCGTGGCCATGAACCATCGTGGACCATCGTGACAGCCGTGCAGAAAAGAGTCTTTAAATAGAAGAATCAAATGACATGTGAGGGAAGAAAAAATAGGTCCTCGTCCTCGTAGAGAGTGGATAATAGTTGGGATGATGCGTGGGCAACCAGATCAAGATGATGGCTACCCCATTAGGTAGCTACACTAAATGATAGTATAACAGTCGCCGTCTGGTAAATCGCAAACAAATGCAAGCAAGTCGTTCATCGTTTTGGGTCGTCAGCCGTAATTGCGCAAATATTGGACACGTAAGTTCAGTTCAATAATCGTGGGGGGGTGTCGTGGAAGCAAGCTGGAGGGTGTGTCGCTGATGATGACAGGTCCAAAGGATAATGTCAAAGTGGGAGACCAGCAGCGTGAAGACGAGTATTTTCGGCCGTGGATATGCAATTTTTTTGAGAGGGGGGGAAGTCCCATGTCCCCCCCTTTAGTTGGCTCGGATGACGAGCTTGGAGAGAAACTTGTTCGACAACGAGTCAAAATCTTGACGGTCGAACTTGCAATCACTCCTAGAACGTAGGTACGTTTCTGAACGCGTTAGATGGATACACACTTATCGAAGCACTGTGGAACAAGCATACCATATTTAGTCACGTGTGCGCGAACTTCAGTCATGGCGTCGCAGACTGCGGGGTTGGAGTTGAGCAGCTGGTGGTGCTTGCGGGTATCCCATTCCGTGAAGACTGGGAGCTTCTGTGAGATGGCCGAGAATAGGCCAACGATGACACCGACCGGTGTACCTTCCATCTCGGAGCAGAACTTGTTGACGGCGCCGACGTCTGGGACACGGTAATTGCAGTCAAACTGGATCAGCTCCCAGACGGCCAAAAGAATAGCAGCCAGCATGAAGATGGTGGGCCAGTTCTTCAGTTTGTCGCCGCTGTAGACGGACTGATACAACGAGGAGAGCTCCTCGAGAACGTCCTTTTGCAACTCACGCCACATGTCGGCCAGGGCACACTTGACCTGGAAGTTGATCATGACGGGGGCGACAGTCTTGCCGCAAAACTTGGACTGCTGGTCCTCCACCTTGCCAGGTGTGTTGTCGTCCTCACCAATGCCCTCGACCATGGTCACATGGAGGGTAAGGTTGTAGGCGAGCACGAGCTTGAGCGCCTTGCGGATGACGGGAAGCTTCTCACGGCAGTAGAAGCGGTAGGCCGTCTTCAGCAGCTCGGTGACGAAGAAGGTGCCCTCAAAGTACTCGTCGACGAATTGCTCAAAGCCGCCGTCAATGTGACGGTCGAGGTAATCGGAGAGCATGGCGCGCGAGATGCCTTCCATGCCGGCCGAGAGCTTGGCCGTGTTGATCTCAAAGTGAAGGCCGTTGAGCGTCTCGTGCCAGTCGACACCAAAGCACTTTTCGTCGCGGACGTAGACCTCACGGGCCATGATGGGTAGGTAGTGGCCGTAGCCGTGCGTGACGTAGATCATGCGCTCCTGCGAGGCGAAACCCTTGATGTTGCCAATGGAAAAGCCGAGGCTGACATGACGCTCGTAGTCGGCCTTCCAGTCCTTCATGAAGTAGGCAATATCCTTGATGTCGATGCGCGTGCAAGGGACCTGCCACAGGCGGGCATGCGACGGCTGACAGCCAGCACATGGGTCGCCCTTGTCGCACGTCTTCTTGAGGAACTTGCAACGGAGGCAGGCGCGCAGCTTGCGGATCTCGTGGGCCTGCTGGCGCTGGTCAGGACGAAGAGGACCCCGCCGTCTGCCCACCCGCTTCTCGCCCGTGACGTCCTTTTTGGTACTGTGGGCAGCCGTCTTCTTGACAATCGTCTTGGCGGGCTTTGCGCCGGCGCCGGCGGGCGACTTGCGGCGGCGGGCAGGCGGCGAGCTTACGGCCGACGAGGTGGGCGAAGCGGTGCTCGATGACGACTGCTTGATGGGCATCGGCTCGACGCGGGCCATGGGCGGGCTGACGGACTGGTTGGGGGAGATGTAGGTGGCGAAGTCGTGGTCGGCCATGGCCAGGCCGTGGGTGTGGTGGCAGCTGTCCGAGTGGGTGTGGGAGTAGTGCGACGAGACGAGCTCGAGGGTGTTGTCCGTCTCTGACTGGGGCGAGTGCAGCGGGTAGTGAATTTCCTCGAAGCTGCCGATCGAATTGGCCGAACGCGGCAGATCCGAGTGGTTCGACGTGGACGAGTCCGAGTTGGTGCGAATGTGCAGCGACTGGGCTGGGTTGAAGACAATGGCCGACGTGTCGGAGAAGTCGTACGAGCTGCGGTGATTGACGCCCACGTCGACCCAGCCGTTGTCGCTACTCGAGAGCGAGCGGATCTCCATCCACTGCTCGCCTGGGGAGCCACCGGTGGAGACGCTGTTGGTGGCCGTGTGAGGGCCAAAGTCGGCGGTGGTGCCAGTGGGCATGGCGCCAAAGTCGGTGTGGAAGTCGCCCATGGTGAAGGGCAGGGTGGTGGGCATGAAGCTGAGCGGTGCCATGCTCATGCTCGTCATCATGGCAGCCGACGCGTTGAGGTTGAACTCGACGGGCGACTGTTGCAGGGCTGCGCCATACTCGGTGAAGCCATAGGTGGGATCCTGGAGGAAGGCGCTATTGTTGGTCGTGTTATTGCCGTTAGCACCGGTGTCCGTGTTGGTGTTGAGGTTGATCCAGTTGGCCAGCATTGGGTTCATGTGCTGGAGGGCTGAAGGGAATGCCATTGTGCCCATGGAGGCCGCCATGGACGCGGCTGTTACCGGAAGCGAGACATGGCCGGCGGAGGAAGGGGCAGCGCCCGTGGTATAGCGACGTTGGTGTGGCTGCTGCGACTGCTGCTGGTGCTGGTGCTGGTGAAGCTGATTGCCATGCGAGCCATCATGGTGTTGGTGTTGCTGGCTACTGTGAAGCGGGCTGTGTTGATTTTGCTGGGACGGCGTCTGATGCTGCTGCTGCTGCTGTTGTTGTTGCTGTTGTTGCTGTTGTTGCTGCTGCGACATCTGCTGCGGCATCTGCGACATAGATTGGGCCGAGGGCGACAACAGCGGCCAGGTCGAGGTGAAGTTGTACTGGCGGTTGGGAACGGAGTTTAAGGAGAGTCTTGAGCGTAATGCCAGGAATACTA